AAGTACCAATGCTCCACCATTAATACGAATGAGGCAGCGGATCATGCGGCTCTAGGTGCTTTATCAGGTCCTTGCAATTGTTGTCCCCTCTATCACATTTCATCAGTGTTCCCATCCTGCCCCCCGTACCCCTACCAAGTTTGAACGCTCTAGGTCCACGTAAACAGGAGTTATGAATTTGCGGCCCAAAATTTGTATCGCGCACGCCTCGCCCCCTGTGAGCGGAGTTCGGTCCTGCCACCAACCATAGGTGTTCCCATCCTGCCCCCCGTACTCTTACCAATTTTGAACGCTCTACGTGTACGGGGAAAGGAGTTATGAATTTCCGGTCGGACACACACCGAACACTACACTTAGCAAATTAGATATAGTAGGATTATTTCATGCCACCGTTACCATGATTCCCTGTTTGCAAACCTCGAACCAACTCCGCGTAATCTGTCGCGCCCTATTCACTTTGGAAAGAGCTAGAGCGCGCAGTTTAAATTCTTGCAGACAAGCATATGGACATGCTTGCTCTGCAAAATATTTTGATAGCTTTTCAACTTGGATAGCGACATCCGAAACGCGAATGATCAGAGGCTCATAGTGCATGCTTTTAATGGCTTAACCTCCTAGAGCTGCTCCAATGCAGGAATAGCGCTCTGGCATTAAATTGCATGTGAATTCGGACTGTGCTGCTTTGCTGAATGTTTTTTTGCTTTTCTAGCTCTGAATAGAACCTTCTGCGTCTTGTTTGTTTGTTGACACACAACAGCAATTGTTACGGTGTTTTATTCGGTTATTTTCGAGCGTTCGATTTGTTTTTTTTTTGCATTTGTTTTTGTTTTTATTTCAGGACTGCATGTTCATTATTCTGGTGATATAATTGTATCCCATGAAACATGGCTTCCATAGATGTGACCGAAATTCTAAAGGGAGCTACCGCCCCGTCTGAGGTGAGTTGTTTCGTAGCTATTGCGTGTTTATACTCATTGTTAAATTCGTCACGTTGTACAGGGCAGGGCTTGCTGCCAATATTCGAGGTTGATAGAATTAGAGTGGTAAGGTGCCTATCGGTAAAAGATAGGTAGATATATTGCTTAGGAAAGGCTTTTTGCTCGACATTCATGAATATCGCTGTTGATCTAGCTTTTCTGAATGTACTGCATTTAGCCGAACATAGGCGGGTCTCTGAGCATATCACTGCTCACTTGCTGAATGGTTGTNTTGTCAGCCTGTAAGGTGGTACGAATCGCCTTTGTTAACTTACTAGTACCTTTCACACATAATTAATCAAAAATGACGACCACGGTAGCTGAACCTCACTTCTTTTTCCAGATCTGATGGTGTTCTTGATTATTAAACATTTGATAAGTGGTCCAACATTCTCTATAAAGCTAATTTTAGCCTCCTATAAAACGTTATCGCCCTGCCGCCTCCGAAACAGAGCAAAATTTGCCAAGCACGATTGCTTCGACAAACCCACAAGATATTCTTGCCGCACTCGAACAACATGCTGCCCAAGCTGTTACCGTGGATGAAGCGCACATCAGGAAAATCACTCTGCAGGTCCTGCTTTTTGTCATTGTCATTCGCTATCCTTCTTTTCTTCAAAAGTTGATGTTACTATTATTATTGAAGGCATTATATTTTGTTTTTCCAGTTAGAAAGAAAGACTTTGAAGAATAGGGAAATGCGTACTAAGCATGCAGATGATCCTAAAAAGTTCATGGATTCGGAAGTAGAGTTGGATACCGCAATACAGGTATTTGTTATGTTGTTATGTTTTTCTACCTTCCTTCGTCTGATCTGTTTTTTTTTNTTTTTTTTTATTTCTAGGAAATGCATGTACTCGCAACACAACCAGATCTTTATCATTGTTTTGTGGAAGCCGGAGGGCCATCTCTCATGTTGACGCTACTCAGTCATGAGAATTCAGACATCCTCGCTGCTACCGTTAACTTACTTCAGGTAGGACGGATCTCTGCCCTGTCAATCCACACTGTTCCGTTTTTCATCGTTGAAACTTTTTAGGAACTAACTGACGTTGACATTTTAAACGAGGGTGAAGCAGGTGCAGCTCAATTGATTGAGAGTCTAGCATCAGGCCGAATTATTGAGTCATTCCTTACGGCTTTTGAAAAGTTGGATGAGAAGGTGAAAGATGATGCTGACGCAATCCACAATGCTCTAAGTGTAGTGGAAAATGTAAGTTTATTTATTATACATAGTTATTCTCTTTCTCAATGCTTCTATGACAGCATAATTATCTTCAAGCTGTGAACCTGTATTCACATAGTCTTGCCTTCTCACTTAACAAGCATCATGAGAGACCTTACTTTGTTGAATATTCATTTCTATTTGAGCTTAAGTTTTCCCCCTTTAATTCACCCTTACTTCAAGTACAATTTTCAATTTTAACCCAACTGCTTTTTATGAGTTTCTGTTACATTTCTGTAATTGAGTCCAGCTCAGTTCACTTCAGATGATTGACTTCCGGCCAGAAACAGCTGAAGACTGCGTAAATCAGAATCTATTTTTATGGTTGTTACGGAGAGCATGTCAGAAAGTAAGCGTTAGAAGTCTTTTTTCACGTACTGTTTTTGATTATCGACTGCAAGTGCACAGGTTCACCATTCTTATCGTTGCTTCCATATATTTTATATGACATGAACTATGAAAAGGAACAAAAATAAAGATCGGAAAGCTAAAAAAAGCTTAGAAGCTTTCAATGATAGGGATTTTTGTCCACTCTGTTCTCCACTCAGTTCATCTTGAACGGGAGATCTCAACCTTAGAATTAAGCAGGCGATCGCTTTTGCTTGAATCGTGGAATGTCTTTACAAATGAGTTGCTTATCTACAACGTCGAACCAGTAGGAGGGGATGACTAATAATAATGAATTTTTTCCTGGAAATCTTTGTGACGACTTTATTGTACTTACTCACGTCTTTTTTCAGCAGTATGATAAATTATTTTGTTTAAGGGACAGTTTGATGCCAACAAGATGTACGCTAGTGAGTTGATCGCACTTCTACTCCAGTTGTCCGAAGCGGCAAAGCGAAAACTTACTGAAAAAGTCGATGGTATTGACATGCTTCTTCGCGTAAGTATCTTTGACTCTTCCTATCCACATGTACTCCATAGAGAAAATTTGCAGTTTTTTCTTTTTTGTCATTGTTTTTATCTATTCTCGCTGGGAGGAGTACAGTTCACATTCTGTGAATGAAAAGGGGGTAGAAGATAATGTCTTTGACGTTAATCTTTCCGACTTTGAGATGCGTCACGTTCTCACCTTCCATTCAGGATTGTAGTGGGGATTTGATTGGGCATGTTACCTCTATAATTAGTTGCGGTGGCCAGTCTGTGAACAAGTCAGTGCTTTTAGACGAGAAGCGAGCCAACTAACCGATCACGGAGTAAAGGAAGACTTGCCCTGAGCGGTTATCGATCAGGGCTTCGATCCCGGGATCATGCCTATTTGATAGTGCGCATGATAGTGCGCTATTTGCCTTATACCTTCTTCGAGCGAAAATGTTTACATCCAAGTATATAAGCAAATGGACACACAGACAGGCACACACTCACTAGACCTCTGCGTAGTGATGCTCTCTGCAATGATAGATCACTTGTTAGCCTACGGCGTCGTAGTTTCTACAACGCACCGGAGCAAATTAGTAAAGGATAATTTTTAAAGTAAAATAGAGATTACCTCTGCGAAAGTTGGCTTACTGATGTAACACATAACCCTTTTCCAGATAGACGAAATATGGTGATTTCAATTAGAATCAATCGGTGCCCCATCTCCTATTGTGCAATTTGCGAGCAAACGCTCCTAGTCTGAGAAACCCTACCTCCTTCTGACCTTTTGTCCACTAGTCGATACTTTTAGTTGCTACTGTCTAGAAAAGAAAATTTCGTTTAGTATCGAACGTGGAAGCCATTTCGTTTAGAATTTTACCGGGTGAGGATTTCAACATGTGCCATAGATTGTTTGGTAATAATCAATATATCTCGGTTTATAATAAGGAGAGAACAGCAAAGTCTCTACCATATAATGCAATAATTATCGTTTTTCCTGATTTCGCGGCTTCTCTAGTACAGTATAATGATTTCCTTTCCACTTTCATAGCGAGGTAAAGGGCGCCTCGTTCATTGTGAACAGTGTCATTTGTTTCTAAAAACCTGGCGCCCTTTCCGATTGCAAAATCTCACTAATCTGTCTAAATTTAATCTCAACACAACGCTGATTGAGGAGGAGAAGGAGAAAAAAGCGGAATTTTGGGCACATGAACACTTCGGTTCCCCGACTTGATGTCGCGACAATTCTGTTGTTTGTGTAAAAAAATTTCTCGATTGTAATTTTGGTAATCCCAGGAGCTTTGCATAAACTTCTGATCAGTGCTTTTCAGGCTCTTGCCGCATACAAGCGACACGATCCCGAAAACTTGGATGAACGGGAACATATGGAAAACTTATTTGATGCGTTGTGCGCTGCCCTTATGCTGCCAGCAAATAGAGGCAAATTTCTGGACGGAGAAGGCTTACAGCTCATGAATTTGATGCTTAGAGAAAGGAAGCAGTCTAGGGAGAGCGCATTGAAGGTAAGTTGTTCCAGCAAACTTTTTTTCACAAGGTTTGGCTCAATCTGCTGGAATGGTCTTTTTACCTAGGTACTCGATCATGCCACCACAGGTCCAGAGGGCAAAGAGAATTGTAACAAATTCGTGGAAATCTTAGGTATGCATTTATAGCGATTGATTGTATCCTCTATTTTTTAAACCTGTTTGCGCTGCCCATGGGGGCCCCAGTATCACTCTTACTTTGACGAATTATTCCTATTCGGCGTTCATTTTTTTCAAAAAAGAAATGCTGCTTATCGTATTTAAAACCGTGCAACTACTGCTTTACTAGCGAGGACAATCTATATTTCTATTTATTAAGAACGGAACAATCTATTTACGGGAGAATTGTGTTATTTTATGGCTTTTTGTTAGTCGCTTTGCTTATTTGGCCATGCTCGCTGTGATGTTGCATTGGTGTGGTTTATACTGGTTATATCTCTGGTTTATACTTTTACCAAGGTTCCGACATGGACATGGAAATTCCTCTATTAAACACAGACTGAGTAGTCAAGAAGCTGACTTGTTTCACCTAATCTGTATTATTATAAGGAGGGCCAGTTAGTAATGCAACTAAAGTACACAATACCAAAGTGGCGCGGTAGGCCTCCCACTTCCACAACGTGTTAGGTTTACCCATTAACGCAGAGGGCCCTAGTTGTGCCCTTATATTAGGTAAGGAGTAAGGGACGGGGAAGTCGTTCAGGGTGCAATAGAACTACGGCGAATCATTTTATCGTAACAGTTTTTCGGTAACTTGTCATAATTTCACATTCATATTTTGATTTATGTTCTTCTGAAACTATGTTCCTAGGTTTGTGTCGATCGGTTCAGTCTTACGGGAAGATTTTGCATAGAGCCTTGTACTTTCTGCGGTCTCACTTGGCACCGCCCCTAAAATTTGTTACCGAAGCTCGGGGATAGGTTTAACATTCCGTATGGAATTGGTTTTTCACTTATCTAGTAGTAGTTAGTTTCTTACTAGAGTGCGCCTAACACAAGTGGGAGAAACTAGCGCTCACACCTGCTGCACTCGTATTCTTGTTACCTCCAAACCTTCAATTATTTTTCCATTCATAGCGTGTTCTGGGGCGGAGGTGGTATAGTGGAAAATGGCACACTATTACACACGTATGGTCGTAGGTTCGGGGTCTTAATCGATGTCCGCCCAGGCCGACCGAGCCCTCCATCTACAGGGTCGTCTAATGTCTACGAGCTCCGTCTGGGAGGATAAAAGCGCTTACTTGTGCATTCGCTGGCCATCGCAAGTCATTGTATCATTGTACATGGCACTCATGCGATACGCCATTGTGATTCTGAAGGGAAGTCAAACACTGAGGGAGTAGGGAGTAAAACTGTTCCAGTGGTCAGTTCTAAAGTAGTTTTCCATTATATAATTTTCAACAGAAGGTAGTTGTAATGCTACATTCTTAGGATTGCGAACGCTTTTTCCTCTCTATATGCGTACTCCATCAAAGGTGAAGAGGAAGGACACCACGCCTGACGAACATGAGGAGCATGTCTGCGCTGTGAGTTATTTTCTTTTAGTTCTGTTGCAATGACTACCCTCTCTCGAGATGTATACTCAAGAAAGCGATTGCCCAAGAACCTTCTTAACTCCTCACACTTGGATAGAAACAGTTTCGCATCGAAATTATTCAGAATAAATAGCTCACAACTGATTTCGCAACACAAATCATCACTCTGCTGCTCTTACTGTCTGTATTTATGACGTTATCTGATTTCAAGCAGCACTAATGGGAGCTGCGGGCGTTTCCTTCTCTTTCCGCCAGGTTCAAGTTGCTGTTTTTGTAACAACGAAGCATCATAACAGTCTCTCACAATCAGACAGTGCAGTGAGTTGTCCAAATTATGTCTGAATCGGTTCGGCATGTGTCATTGCCGTGAGCGTCGTAACCAGATTGCCACAGAGGCAGAAATGACATCGAGTCCTTCCAGGATCTTCCATTCAGCAGCATGAAGGGCACGGGATGTTTATTTGAGGTCACTGTACATGACTCAGTTTCTACGCTCAGGCAATGGCACAAGTGAATCAAGATCGTGACTCAGGCCACAGGTTCTGGCTGCTTAGGGCACGAGACCTCACACATTTGTGAAAACATTCACTCACTTCAGCTTCTATGTTACCCCTTGGTGTACAGGGTGGGCCAAAATTATGATTACACAGAAATCACATCGCAGAAAANGAATAGAAAACCAATAGAGCAAACCAATTTCATTAAAGGGCTTAGCACAAATTTCTTATCAAAACTGTACATTGAGACTGGGATCTGTTGCTTTCTGCTTTCACCCAACCCCAAAGACGACGATGGACGGCATTGACGGTGGCACGCAGCTAGGGTCATCGAAATGGTCCCGGCTTTTTGCTAAGCATTTTCGAGATTATTTCTTTTCTTGTTTGGGCTAAAGGATGCTTTCATCTCAGAGGCTGACCACATTGAGACATTCGTGGGATTTAGGTCAGGGCTCCAGAGTGGTCACTGATCGAAGGTTATGAAGTCCAAGAACCCCTTTTACGAAATTTCTAGACAATTTCTGTTCTGCGGACGAGAGCTTAATCGTGACAATATGACCGGTTCGAATCAGCAGAGTGTCCTATTGTGCACGAAGAGATCAAACATGCCTCCAAACCAACTTCCACTGCATAATTTACAAGAATAATCGGTGTCTTTGCCTCGGCGGTGATACTGGTACAGGCCATCACAGAAAGTTAGTGAGCCAGGCGCTGTATCACTTTCATTTCTTTAAGCTTCATATAAATGTTATCGCTCTACTTATTGAGCACCTATTTCACTGTGAATCTCTTTTCTTCTGTGAACAGGAATTCCGTAGGACAATTTTTTCGGATGCGACAGGCAGCTTTTGTTAGCCAACCTTTCTCTTCTCTTTAACCTGCTCTCTGGGGAATCACTTTCCGACCGTATAGGGGTCTCGTTGTGCAGGGGATGCTTCACGATTTCACGCCGAAAAATTCGTGACATATCCATTCATTTGGCCTTTTTGAACTCAGAATGAATTTTGCTCCTACGTAGACCTTTGCCCTGCTTTCTTGACACTTCCCCTAAATATAACCACAGCTCTCCTAGGTTCACCACTCCTATCTGCAATTGTTCCCAACTCTCGAGAGCGTCTTATGGTTGAATGCAATACCTGCCTTGTTTCGCTAGTTTGTCTGTAGATGCACCGTGCCAAAAGTGTTTGTGAATGCAAAGCTACGTTTAATTCACGGACTAGTTACGCTTATATTATGTTAAAAATCTACCCAAAGTTGAGTATCATTAGAAAGGTAATAACGTAAGGTACTTTGTGAAATGGAAAAAATTTAATGAATTGATATGAACATATAAAAAAAATTGCAATAAACGTCAGCACGCGCTGTAATCATAATTTTGGCCCACCCTGTACTGTGTGTAGGATGGGTTCTCCGAAGTCCTATACGTGGACTCTACGCACTTCCTTCTGAGCCCTCTGAGATGCCGCTTCCCTGGCGCTCCTTCACTTCCCACTTTTGGATAACTCGTTCTCAGTTTCGACTTGCCTTTTCGTCGTTCGCCAAGAGAGTTTCCGGCAGTCGGAATCCGTCTAACGCTTGGCATAGTGGTGAGCTACATATGCCGATGCCTGCCAGGCTTGTGCACATGCGGCCGGACAGGCACCCATTTTTGAACTAGCATCGGAGCGGTCTTGCTACCACTGCTATTTTGTAGCGTAGCAAGAGCTTGTCTTGGGGCAAGAAGGGTGAGGATATAGGTTCTCTGTAAAGGAAACTGTGTTAGTTCTCATTCTACATTTTCGAAAACTACTTCAGCTTCGGTCCACAATTTTCTTCCCCCTCTGACCAGAACTAAAGTAACTATAAATTCGTTCACTCCTTGAGAACAGGAATTGAATTCTGGACCAGTCTCGGTAACAGAGAGAGTTTTCCTCGACTTCTCCAATAAGGTTTGTGCAGCAAGTATCTGCAAAAGTTTCTGAATTATCCATGTTTTTCCTCGTATTTTCTGGGCTTCCGTGGAGTCAGTATGTTAGGATCATGCATAACATAACTGGCTAGCTCTTCTTTGATTTAAACATATAGCAACCCAGCTTCTACTCTTACAATTGGTCAGCAGGTACTTTGTGAGTTCGAATCCGGCCCTTCTTTCCGCTACTGAATCTCATTGAAATTTGTGTGAAGCATTTGGTATCTAGTTTGAGGCATAGCATTGGAACCTCTTAACATCGGCTATGTATATAACTTCTTCAAAAGCTTCGCAGCACTAAACAGAATGGTCGAGGATTGTTCTCGATCTGGATGCTCGACTGCTATGGTATCTCCTATTATGTCGTGTGCATACGAGTCAATAGTGTCTGTTTTCTGAGAACTTGGAGAACATTCCATTACAATCTGGCTTTTATGAAAATTTCGGTAGTTTCCTCCCCCACGACCTAAGATTTCCCGCAACTTTCTCGTAATTTCAATCCTTCTACAAAATTTCGGAATACCTCAACATTGTACAGATGCCTGTGTCGTTCAACTTTTGGCATTTGTATTTTCCAAAGTATAGGTTTAAAAAGTAGCAATTGTCCATCCAAAAATCGAGCTGTCTAGCCTTGATCAACACTGATACTGTACCCTAAGAATCGATCCGTTATATCGAATATTCGAACTCGCCCCGATTCTTTCGCGCCAAATTCCCATCGATTACCGCTTTCTCGAAATAGCTGCTGCAATGAATAGCTATTTCCATTGTTTGTGGTGTGAAAATTGCGTTGAGCGTAATGAGGCAGTAGCCGATTTTTTATATTCGTTTTTGGGATTTGCTTTAAGTCTCCCTAACCCTGCCATCTACTCATCCTACAGACGTCGAATTTGTTTTGATCTCCTCTTTTTTGGCTACTCCTGTAGCCACCCGCAGTTTAAATTTCTCAGGCTTTGCAACCAACATTTATTATTTTCCACCTCAGATCCTTGCGTCGTTGCTTCGTTCTTGTGGAGATACTGCTCGCCAACGAATGATGGGTAAATTCGTTGAGCATGAACACGAGAAAGTTGATCGGGCGATCGAGTTGTTCATTAAGTATAAGTAAGTTTTTTAATATAAAGTTTGCAGCTGTAGTTGTGGAATGCACACTGATAGATGTTTTAATAGTAAGCATGACCTAATTGATGGAAAATAATATCTGACAAATGTTTATTTTAATCACTAATGCGATAAAGCTTTGTTACGGGCAATTCATATTGTGAGTTATGCGCTTCGATTATATCATCAGATGACCTCGTGTAGGGTGTGGTGCAGTAGGATCGAAATTGTCGCGTTACGGGAGAGAGACGCCTCGCGCGAAGGACTGTAGCAGAATGCAGCAGCAAGTAAGAAATACAGGAACAGATGAACAAACATTAGAGTCATGCCAAAAATAGTAGGTGCTAAGTGGGTTGGGGGGTGCCACGCGGCGGCGCGGCACCCTTTTGGCCTACGGACTACTTGAACTCGGTTCCTTTAAATTTGCCGGATGCGTCATTTTTCTGCCCTCGTCTGGCGCAATCTCGTTTGATGTGTTCTTTGAGTGTTGTGCTCGCCTGTCCAATGGGACCCCCACCACCACCGCCGTAGGCTTCACCCGGGGTGTTTTTCTCTGCGCTCTAGCTTCTTGCCGTCAGGGACGCAGAGAAAGTTCAAGTAGTCACGTAACCCACCCTTTTCCGTCTGGCGCCTCACTAGCGAGATAGTGGAGGAGGAAGAGTAGTCGAGCCCGTAATGGTGTTTAGGGACGTTTCATAGATTTTTTATGTTATAACTGTGTATTTTTACCTAATTTTAGGAAGGGGGGGGGGGCTCCGGGGTGGTGAGCCAATTGAACGTCCAACTCTTATCTCATCTCAGCTTTTTGCACGAGACA